ACACATACCCAGCAGGCCCAACAGTATAACACACGCAGTCACAGGAGCAAGACACAACAAAAGCACAACACACACACGATAGTGAAGGAGTGCTCCAACAGAGGAGAATGGGCGTGACTGGCGTAGTGAGGTGCGACGTAGCGATGTGGAATCCTGAACAATTTTAATATTTTTAACGTTCGACATTTGTCAATATATATGATAGACATATATTTTAGTTATTTTAATGTGAGGACAAGGCATGCAATGAACTAGTTTGACGTGGATGAGTAAGCACCTGAAGATGGCATTATTATGCCGAAACATGTAGTGCGAGTGAGAGAAGGAGATAGATGAGTGTATGCACTGCAAGACGGTTTAAATAAATCATGGATGCAAAATTTATGCTGATGATTATTATAGAGTGACAATTTTCCTAGCATCTACTCATGTGAATAAAACAAACGATGAATGTAATAAAAAAATCCCACTCTAAGGTCTTCCAAGGCCATATGAAAATCGGTAATATACAGCAAAGTTTTGGATACTACTCCTATTAAGTCAAGCTGATGCAAAACACGTTAATTTTGCTTCACACCTGTGCTGTCTAGAAAATAACCATAAATTACTTCAAGAATGTAAAACACAGTTACCATCTTGGGTGTAATAACACAAAATATGTGTACCTTGTTGACAGCACCAGCAGCAAGCACCAGATAGTGAAGTATATGTTTGAAGTTGGTCGTCTTGCCACTCCCACTACGTCCCAATAGAACAATGGAATGATCCCTCCTGGATGCCAGCATACCATGGTATGCAGACTGAGCCAACGAATAGATGTGTGGTGGCATATCTTCTGACTTACATCCTCGGAACATGTGCACCACCTGGAAAAGACACTCAATTATCCATGTGCAGACTGCCCACTTCCTGGATTAAGCATGGGACTTTCAGAGCCCCTCAATTATTGATTATAGCTTCCTGTAATGGTTTAAGTGTTGTCTATTACGCCTGTTTTGGCGTTTAACAGCAATGACCATGGGATGCTTTCTTCTATTGGAAAGATTATGTGTCTCCCTGTTTAGTACCCAAAAGCACCACAAGTAAGTATTATGTATGTGATTTTCTGGGCTGACTGTAGAGATGATAGTAATTCATTACTTTATATGTTGGTTTTAACTATCTGCACTATTTCTCCTTGCCATTTTCATGCATAATCAAGAATTCACTCTATGCTATTGTAATTAGTACTGGAATAACACATGAAACAGGTTCCAAAGGACTGATGCACCAGATTCTCAGGTTCACTTTAGATGCAGAACTGGGCATACATCAGGAAGTTCCCAGACTGTTATTGTTGTAAGTGACTTCCACGGTGCTTTTAAAGCATGGGAAAAACAATTGGATAACTGTGTATATTCCCAAGGAGACTATTTGAAGGAGATGGCAGCTAAAACTGAATAAGTTAAGCCAGCATTTCTTTTCTGACCTGGTCTGGGAACGTTCCGATAGCACCTGGTACATGTCCCATCCATCATAATGTGTGCTTCATTCATATCTGTATCTTTCTATATGTTTCACAACAATGTGTGAGTACACATCAGTTCTTCTGCCTACCATTCCATGAGACCGCACACGTGCATTACAATTCCTCCCTGAATGATCGGATTTTAATGACATTTGATGAGTAATTTCTATAATTCGAACAAATTTTTTTCCACATATTCTTCAGGTAATATCAAAACATCACAATCAGGTAGACAGCGCTAATACTTTGTACTCATGAGATCTTGGCCCTGAAACAGGCTATACTGATTGAGGGTTTTTATGGTTTTCCTAAGTCTCTCCGGGTAAATGTCACGAAAGTACCTCCTTCATATCCATTCAAATTCATTATTCACTGATCATCCACTGAGACAACATTATGTAACCTGACTCTGAAAGTGTTGTTAAACAATCAAAGAATAAGTAAAACAAACTACGGCAATACCTGCAAAACAAATATACGATTTTTTAAAAACTGGTTTTCAAAAAACATATAATAACTGTAAGAAACAGAAACTATAACTATAACAGCCATGAAGAAAGCAGTCTTCTGGGATTTGGCACCGTGTATATGTGGTGTTAACCGACGTTTCGGAGGAACGTATCGCCCCCATCTTCAGGGTAGAAGAAAAAGTATAAGAAATCTGCAAGCAACAACACTGTGAGAAACGGTAAAGCAGACTGTTTCTCACGGTGTTGTCGCTTGCAGATTTTTATACTTTTTCTTCTACCCTGAAGATGGGGGCGATACGTTCCTCCGAAACGTCGGTTAACACCACATATACACGGTGCCAAATCCCAGAAGACTGCTTTCTTCATAGTCACCGCCGTGAAAGCCTCAAATCTTATATAACAGCCATCCCTGTAATAGGCTGTGAAAGGCCACAGGTGCCAGCCACCAGGAAAATTCCTGGTATTAATTTCTGTTAGAGGCTGAGTTAAGCCTAGGGACATAGTGCGACTGGAAGAATTAGGTAAACTGAAAAAAATTCAGCTCATCGGGACTCAAACCCACGACCTTCCGGCTTGTAGCATAGTGCGTTAACCAACTATGCTACCGCATGCACCGCTATAACTATAACAGAACATATATGTAATACAAACGTGACCTTAGCCAAATAAAACTAACCTTCTCTGAGTAAATAGCCAGGGGAGCCATGGGGTTGATAACAACCATGGACCCGCCCGCATATGTATGGATAAGGTTGCTGCCATACCGTTGCCTTAATGTGTGCAGCACACTGGATTCATTCAGGTAGCGAAGATGAGCAAGATCCTCAGCTCGGTCGAACTGTGGAGGATTTGCCTGTAACAAGCAATAATAACAAACAAATCACTCTGTCACTGCCCTTCATCATTCTATGAATTGGGTATCTGTTTACCTAAGTGTACCGCATATCTGAAAGTATTTCTATCACGCACTGGAAAGTCTCACCACTATACATTCACCTACAGTACCACGAACTCCGCACGCCAACCAATCACCTCCTTACACCAATAAGAACGCTTTCACACACCTAATAAACATCGAAAACCATGAAGCCAGTACAATGCCTAATAACCAATACCCCAAACACCCCCTACCAAATTTCAAATATTTAAAAATTGGAATCCCACAATATCAAATTGAATTTTATTTAACCACTAGATTTTAACTTTTAATACATTCGACTTTTAGCATACGAAATTCAAGACATCCCACAAAAAAATTAAAACTAAAATTAAAAGTCAGATTATAATATTACTAATAAATGTAATAAAATGGATCCATTTTAATTAATTCACTAGCAACATAGGTAATTCATAGAAAACCACCTGATAATGATCTTGATACATCGAAACATGTAGTGGGATGAAAATAAGAATAACCTGAAAACTGACATTTTAATATCAGTTTATAATCAACTGTTGTGCTGATGGCCCTTAAGGGTACCTTTGATACATGACACACAATAGGATGGACAAAATAAGGGTTTGACACGGGCATCTCGAAGGAATTTTTAGACTTTATAAGATTCTGAATTTGTTAATTTAAAATAAAGTGTAACCAACCAACCAATAATTTTGCTACAAAAGAACTGAAAATAGAAACATGGAAGTAACCCAAGTGACTTATACTAGCAACAGAATGAATGCCCTGCAATTAAAAAAAAAAGTTTATTTTTCCTGAAATTATGAAAAATTGTTTGGCCCTTTTTTTTACTACTCTGTGATCTAAAATTCGGAAAATGTAACGTTAAAATAATGTATACATTTTAAGCTTTTGTTACCGGATGTATTTTGGTTCCTGGAGATATTCTTGTGTCATACAAAAAATTGCATCTATGACCCATATATATACCTTGCTACTGTATATTTCTGCTTGCCTACTTCATAATGAGGCCAGTTCAGGTGAGCAGGAGAATATATTTTTTTTACTCCAAAATATACACATGCGCACAACATAAGAAACTGACACTGTGTCACCATTATCAAGATGTCAAGGAGTGTGGAGGGCATCATACACACTCTGGCCTTAAATGTCTTACAGACTCTTCAACGGTTGCTAGTTTCTTATTCCAGCCAAACTGTACTTTGTTATTAATTCAGGCAGTCTGTCTCTCCATATTCTGTCAATGTGGCACATCTATTATAGTAAAACCCTTAATTCTGATTTCTTTGGGGAGCAATGGATTTGAACACTAAACTGAGGTGAATCTTAAATAGAAGTAATTTGTCACTCAAATAATGAGGATAGAATGACTGAAATTGAACGTTAAATGAGGTAAAACCTTAAACCAAGAATCATTAAATGGAATTTCCACTGTATTTTCTGTACCCAAAAATGTTGGCCAATTTTTGTTATGTTGGTTATTTAATGACATAGTACCAGGCCTATATAATGCCAATGAAACCAATGCTGAGTCAGTATTTAGTTAATCTAAAATGTCTTAGTTTCTTCTCCCATCTTCGCAGGCATATTCTTGTCTGTATCTGCAGCTGTGATTCTGAGTTGTATTTATTTCCACTGACCAGATTTTACTGCCAGTGAAGATGATGTAAATTAAAAATATTCCCCTTCATTTTTAAATCACCATTTTTTTATACTACATTTAAGTTATGTTCTTTCAGTTTCAAACCCTTTCTTGCTAAACATAATATATGATTCTGAATCACACTGTGTATCAACAATGTCAGTGCAAATATTCCATACAGGATGCAAAACTATCTCAAAATAAACACTGTATTTTAATGATAATTTAAAACATGTTAATATACCACTTACACTAGACAGCTAATGTGTATTGTATATACTTTTTAACCATTATGTAGATTCCTTTCAACTTAAATGCAACAAATCAGGGACACTTGAAACATACTGAACTCAATACAATACTGGCTATGCAACAAATCACCTGATATTCACATAATACCTCTCTACTGTGTTGGAATAACAAATGGGATGTTTACATTGACTATCTCTGACTCATATAGGGACAAAGAGCCCAGAGTTCTTAATAAGCTGCTGTCAACAACTCTACGTGCTTGAAGTGACATATGCACTTTAAGTTTTCTTAAAAACCTATCTGTACATGCTACAGTATTCCCAGTTGTATTAAAAATGTAAATCAACTGTACTGAAAGTGTGAACTGATACATTCTTACTCTCAAACCACACAAACGTGCAGGAAGAAATGACCAACCCAATCAGTTTAATTTACTTGTATCACAGAACCTGAATATTCAGGACTGCAAAGAATATTATACGGTGTCTAAAATATCTCTGAGGTTGTGCTAACATCAGGTACTGATATACAGCATTAAAAAGATATTTTTACAGAAAAAGATATCTGAGGTTCTCACAGTGATAAATATAAAAATTATGGACTTCTGGGATATGATGCCATATTGTTTGACAGACAGTAATGTTCTGGAGGAACTTGGTGCTAACCTCTTCCTCTAGCCTGGATGAAGTAGGTCCATCAGAAATGCTGGCACCTGTCTACCACATCACAGCATCAAGCTCCAGGTGACTACCATCTTAATGCTACAGTACATGTGGAAAGGAATTATTGTAATACCCACTTCTCCATTAAATGCTATATTCTGAAACTCTCTGCTCTGAGCTTACATAAAATTTACACTACTGTGGACTCACAGTATTTGAAAGCTGTTATACATACCTTCAAAGGTGTGTACTGTTACTACACTGGTATTCACAAGCACACAGAAAAACATTTCATATAGAATTTGTGGTTATGTATTTGTATAATACTGTCAAATAATTAGGGCCTGCTGTTACATAACTTTCCAGCTACATCAGTTATTGTATAAAACTGACAAAAGACAAAATTTATTCCACCACAACTTATACTTTTTAAATTCCTGACAAAGTTTTCAGAACAACAGTTACTCATGTTCTGAAAGTCCCACATCATATGATGTTTTGGTACTGTACATGAACAGCAATATCGATTTCATACCAAAAATTTCACAGGGCCACCCTCCTTATAATTTTCCATGGCATGGAAATAAAAAATGAACAAGGGTTAACCAATGACAACTGTACTAAGTTTTACTTAAATAAATCAGTGATAAGAAACAATATGAGTTCTGTATTCTGGGATACAACTCCATGTAATCTGTTGAAAGTCAATCGATGTTTCACAGGATCCTTCTTCATGCTGGTTTCTTCCTTGGCTTACACCCCAACCCTGAATATGGAGGCGAAATGTTTATCCAAAATGTCAATTGGTTTTTAATGGACTACATGGCATTATGTCCCAGTAAACAGAACTGTGAGAACCTCAAATACTAAAGAAATATTATTATTATTATTATTTGGAATTAAAATGATTAATCATGATACTTTAATTTCTCATTACATTCACAATTAACAAACAAATCAAACACACATACATGCACAAGCACGCAGGTGTGCAAAGACACATGCTGCACCCATGAACACCGATACTTATGCTTCCCTGTTCATTATAACACAAAGAAAAGAGTCTAAAACCCAAAATAATTACAGACATATATTTTTTGTGTAGTGTGTCCCATTTATCATTAGACTCTCCATGACAATACATCACTGGACCATAACTGGCTGCCAATATACAATATATATATATATATATATATAATATATATATATATATATATATTATCATGCTGTATGCTGTGACACAACTAATTGTATGGTACAGTAGGTGACTGAAATGACATCCTCATCTATCAGACATGCTTGTCACCCAAAGAACATGTTTTTGACAACTGTAGGAAGTGGGTTTCATGATAAACATGACTATCCAAAATAATTAAAACACTGACACATATTTCGCTTGTTAAAAATTATGCATCAGCTTTTTTATTATTGCTAGTGGGGTGGGACTAAGTCTCTTGTACTGTGGTCACTTCTGGCCTATTGTACCAGCACCAGATGTTGGTGGAATGAAGATTGGCAGGGGAAACCGAAATACTGGGAGAAAACCTGCCCCAGCGCCGCTTTGTCCACCACAAATCCTACTTGACTACACCCGGGTTTGGACCCGGGCCGCCGCGGTGGGAAGCCAGCGACTAACCGCTTCAGCTATGGTGTGGCCCATGCATCAGCTTAATAACATATCATCACAAACCTATAGGCCTACAAAATCAAAATATGCTCTAGGCATAACAGAAGCTTTAAATGAAGTTTTGAAACTGTTTCATACTGGTATTGGTGGAATCATACCTTTTCAACATCATCATCATCAACCTGCAGGACTTCTTCAGTAGCCTCCAAACGTATATGGAGCTTACTTGTATCAGAATCACCTCCACCACTTGCTGAGAATTCCTCTGGAAGCCTTCGGACTGCAGAGAAGCCAGCTCGGTGCACTAACCATAGTCGCTCTGCTTCCAGCCAGGCGCGCTCAGTTGCAAGCTGCTCATCTGATTTTGCTTGCTGAAAAGAGAAAATATAATGCTCTGAAAAACACTGGCCACTCTTCATAAACTGCACTTCCACAATCATTCTCCCTTCTGACGCCATATAATCTACACATTGCCGGCCATGGTAGCCGAGCGGTCTTCACTTGCTCGGAAGCCGGGTTCGTGGGTTCGGATCTATTTCCTGCGAGGTACGAACTGAATTCTTATATATTATTCTTATACACTGCTGGCCACGGTAGCGGAGCGGTCTAAGGCATGAATTGTCTTCGCTCACTCGGAAGACGGGATCGTGAGTTCGAATCCCACACAAGACATGAATGTTTGGTATATGTGTTTATTCTATGTTTAGGTAAAGGCCTTGTGAAGAGCTGATCACTCATCCAAGGAATCCTACCATCTGTAAAATAATCACGAAACTGAAAATCAGAGGCCAGGGCCCAAGGGGGGCTGTAGAGCCAGGGGGACAAAAAAAATCTACACATTGATAAAGTGTTGATAATTGGGTATGAAATTAAGGAGGATGAATTACCGGGTTGTGTAACGTCAGGTAAAAACTGACTATGGTATTGAGTTATGACAATGCATAGATGGTTACTAGCGTTTCGAAGGAACCCCCTGCCTCCATCTTCAGGGTAGAAGCACACAAATTAGCTTCTCCAAAACGAAAACGGTGGTAATCACCTATGAAATTGCATGGTTATGATAAACCTATGTACCACAAATTTTAACTGATAAGAAAACCTCAGAACCTCATACAGTACAGTATACTGACAGGATGCTGGGCATGACTCCGTGGCCTAGGTCCCATCCTAGAATTAGACTAGATTAAAACTAAGAAAAACATCAATACCTGTCCGAGATTCGAACCGAATACGTTTTCTATAGGGGCTTTCTACTGCGATAATCTGGTTGTTAACTGCTCATGTATGTAATATTACGTCTTGCATCTAAAATATGAGATGTATGGATACGTCACTGCGCATGTTCAGAATAATTAATGAAACTGCTCTACTCCGCTATGAAGCGTGGGCTTCGAGATGTGGCACGTGGGCGTTTTGGGAGCGAGCAGCCGCTTGTGACGTGAACACGTGGCTCTTCCACCACTAGCCTTGCTACATTAGCAATACAGACTAACTACGGTGCTCTGCATGTAAGACCGAGTTGAAATGGTCCCGAATTCTATCTCGTTTTATTTTGAACTTCACCGCCTTCTTCTTGAACGCGAAGCCGTATAGTATGGTGTGAAGTTATAAACGTTTCGGGTGAACTTGTTGCTTCCATCTTCAGGATACAAGAGAACTTCTATCCTAAAGTTGGAGGCAGTAGGTTCTTCCTAAACGGTGGTAATTTTACACCAAACAACACGGCGTCACATCAGAGAAGATATTAATCTTCATACTCTAACCAACACAATACGAGCTGCGATAGCGTCGTCGGTATAGCGACTGACAAAAGGCTGCGCGCCGGAGGAATCGGAGTTCGAGTCCCGGTAGGGTCAAGACTTTTTTATCCAAGTCGTCCAGGCCAATTCTGGGTCCCACCCAACCTTCTATCCAACGGGTAACAGGGGCTCTTTTCCCTGGGGTATGGCGGCCAGAGTGTGAAGCTGACCAATCATCTGAAACTAGCGACGATGTCAAGAAAATGTGGATCTATATATCCACTCCCCCCATACGCCTTCATGGCATAGTGCTTAATTAGTTAAGCACAGGGACAACTTTACCTTTCACCTCACTCTCACCGCCACAGCCTCAAATCTCGCGCAGTTTCATTTTAATTGAAAAAATGTGTAACGTCTTGTATTTATTTTGGACCAGCGCTCAAGAACTTAAAATTTCTTCACTCTTGGTATGTAAGGTATATAGGAAAAGGGTACAAAGAAGAATCCAGACATAAGTGAGACATGTTTTTTCTAGAGTAATACCTAAAATATAGTAAAAACGTATTCCATTAACACACCCACAGCAAAAGTAACCATATCTGATAACAATCTAGCACCCGCTAAGCATTCAATGCATAGTCTTTCATTTGATATATGAACTTGCGCACTTTACTTTCCACACTTTTTCCATCGGACATGTTATCTGATGTTGCGTCAAGGCCTAGGATTGACACTATCTGTCAGACACGGAAAGTAAGTATGTTTCCGTATGCAATAAAACAGACACACAGTCAATTATAACCCGTCTGCTATTACACATATAAATTCCATACACTTCTACAGCCTTGTCTCTATGTATTCTGAGACTGCATAATGCCAGACATGATGACCACATTCTGAATCATCTGGGCATAAAGGAAGTCCCTCCCAACTTCTGCAACAAACACCGTGGCCTGTAGTCCGCAAGCGAACTATACCGACCGAGAGACCGCGGTTTGTCCGCGAAGTTAATGCCAACTTTAGCGGGTGTCACGTGGTCAGCGCAACGGATCCCCACGGCCGTTAATCTCGGTTTTCTAAACTGGAACCGCTATTTCCTTGAAATAGCTCCTTAGTTATCCTCATGAGGCTGAGTGGACCCCATTCGAGACTCACTACTTCTCAGAAAATCCGGTAGCGCCGGGAATCAAACCCGTAACCTCTGGATCTGTAGCCAGGAACTGTGACCACTAGACCACAGAGGCGGTCCCAACTTCTGCAACAGCTTAAAATACATAAAATGCTTCGTAATGAATTCTATGATGAAGGAAACAGAGACAAGGTTCGAAATATTACGGTTCTGCTGTCTGTACAGACGTGGCTCAATGTCCAAGAACACTTCACTGTATTTTGTAGCTGCAAGAACTTAGGATGTGATATACCGTATAAACGAATGATAAACACGCGACAAATGGAAAACCCACAGCAATTTCTAGCCAACTGCGGTTGTTATGCCCTTAAATACATAGCGGATGGCAAGACCAATGCCTTATGTAAAATTTGGAGTTTCGGAAACGCAGTCACTATAGAATAACACTCATCTAAGCCTAACCAAATTGTCTGCTCCTTCATATAAACACATTACATAGTAATACGCTTAAAAATAAATAAGACGTTTAAAAATCACGAACATATACATTGCAGTGATAAACTTGAAGCCAGAAAACTCATGAATGACATTACAGCCATGCCCCCAGAAAACGAACGAGATCTCTCGGCGTGGTAACCACCAATTCTTTCCATGTGTAAAAAGTAAAGTTGTCCCTGTGCTTAACTAATTAATCACTACGCCATGAAGGTGTATGGGGGAATGGGTGTACAGATCCACATTTTGACCGCAGTACTAGTTGGAGGTGAGCGGCTAGCTTCTCGTCCCGGCCGCTTTACCGCCGGTACCCACTGGATAGGAGGTTGGGTGAACCCCAGAGCCGGTCCGGACGACGTGGAGAAGAAAAAATTCATGACCCTACCGGGACTCGAACTCCGACCTTTAGGTAGTCTTGCCCGTAGCTAGTCGCTATACCGACTGCGGTACCCCTGCTCTTTCACAAAACCAAATTCCACGGTTGGCAAAACTGGATATGAATGGAAAACGGATGATACTCGGTTTGCGAGGTTCTGCTGTACTCAAGACATAAAAAATTTGCTTAGTGGGGGGTGGAGTCCAACTGGGTCCACTCCACACGGCGGCCACTGATTGGCCTATTGTAGCCTGCCCCGGGTGATTATGATGATGCAGAATTTGGTGGATTGAAGATTGGTAGGGGGAAACGAAGTACACTGAGCAAACCCGCCCCAGCGCCACTATGTCCACCACAAATCCCACTTGACCAGACCCGGGATCGAACCCGGGCAGCCGCGGTGTGAAGCCAGCGACTAACCGCTCGAGCTATTGCGCGGCCAGTTACTCAAGACATTCACCTGAACCTGAAAATTAATCCGCTCTGTCTTCGTGCTGCTGACAATGAGGACTGTACTGTTTCGAGGACAGACTGTACTTGTAACGATTTATAACAGATAGGGACTAATAGCGCTGCCGTAACTAAATACTACTACATCCTTTCCGACGGCAGCTCGGCATGCAGGCACGGCACGCAGCCTTTCCTTCGGGCCGTGGGCGTACCCTCTTGTCACCCACCCATTGTCCTCCGAATCGCGTAGCCGATGCCCGCAACGCCAGGCAACGTGCCTTGGTCTGCAGATTACAGGATAATTCATCATCAGCGCCATCAGACAGCCCACACAACCGTCAGTATAACAACGAATTACGGGCTGGACGGCCGGGTTCGATTCCCGGCATGGTCAAGATTTTTCTCTTCTTCACAGCGTCAAGACTGGCTGAGACCCACCCAGCTACCTATACAATGAGTACAGGAGACTCTTTACCCGGGGGTAAAGCAGCCGGGGCGTGAATCTCACGTCACCTCCGTCTAGTCCTGAGATAAAGAATTGTGGAGTTATACCTCCAGTCCCCCATATGTCATGACACAGTGCTTAAATAATTGGGCACTGGAACCGGTTTAGCCCAATAAGGGCAGCAGCAACAAGCGGTGTGTAAATCTAATTCAACTCATAAAGATTATAGATGTACCACTCAGAGACCTACGGCATTACTTACGAATTTCCGGACTTACGGTTTGAGACTCGAGTTTAGAACTTACACCATGTTGCAGTTCTCTCGTGGGTCGACTCGTAACCCTTGACTAGCCATGGTAAGATATTAATAAACTTTGTTTAAATTTTTAATACGGTGTTACTTCATGTCACTTAACTGATTCTATTGGGAAATTCCTGAGTAGCTAAGCAAATGGTGGCTTCTCAAGTACGACTCAGCTCCATGGAGACATTTTTCCCACACAGTGTACTTATATGTTTCGCATTATTTTAGAACAGACGGCGATATGATGGACGTGAGTTTCTCAAAGCAATGGCTATGAAGAATGCTTATCTTCTGGCATATTACACCGTGTACTCTGACGAAAGCGCTGGTTTCCTGTTTACCCAGAAGATGGAGGCGATATGTTCCTCCGAAACGTCGGATGACTTTCACCAGACTACAACGGGTTACATGTCAGACGACAGAACTATCAAAA